TATTATATTATATATATATATATATATATTTTATATGTGTGTGTGTGTGTGTGTGTGTGTGTGTGTGTGTGTGTGTGTGTGTGTGTGTGTGTGTGTGTGTGTGTGTGTGTGGGGTGTGTGTGTGTGTTTTGTTTTAATGCATGTACAGACCAAAGTGATTTTTAAAAAAATACAATACTGCGACCAGCTGGGAATCGAACCCGGAACATTTAGCCCGGCTCCTGGGAACGAAGCTAACCTCCCGCTCTTCGTGATTTTTCGTATCATGATATGAAAAATTACGAAAACTCTTGGGATTTCTCTACTGTTCACTGTGGCTGATAAATAGTTCATAGATATTAAGGCCCAAGCGGCCAGAAATCATTAATACCGATCAGAGTAGTCTAGGTGGTGTGGTAGTTTCCTGTTTTGATGTCAGGTTTCACTCTTCCTTCCAGTGCAGTATTTTTCTCCTGGTTTACTTCCAAAGATAATCAAACCTCAGGACCGAGTGGTCACGCTCACCGATGGGGTCGTTTTTATTCAATGTTCTTCATGACTAAGTCACTTAGGGTGAACACAAGATCAAGTCTTGCTGGTTCATCCCCTCTTTCTCTGGTTGTCTCTCTGACATGATGACAAGAAGTTTTCCATCACCACCTTAAGCATCGTACCTTCCATGTTTTCGGTCCCCCGTGGCTCCAGATCCATGTGGTTCAAGACTCCCACGATCAATAGTTTTACATGCTCAGTAGGCTCGTCTTGTCACTTCCAGTATTTTGTCCGCCGTTACTGTTGTACTGGTCTCCCGCTGTTTAATGGTGTGTTGTATATCAATGCTATAGCCACTGGGTCCCTCAGTCACTTACCTCCTTTCTGTTCATTCCTCTCATCTCAAAAATCCACTGGTTTCTGATCAGTGATGCTACTATTCCACCTCCTCTGATTATATATGTGCTCACCTATATGTGGTTGCAGAAATAGATTCTTAGCATCGTGTCTCCTTTGTGTGCGTGTGTGATATACTCACCTATACATCGTTGCACGAGTCGATTCACAGCTCCTGGCCAGCTGTGTGCGTTATCAAACTGTACTCGCCGGGTTCTTTGATGGCGTCGACACTCGGCCCCTGGCCCTACATCCTAGACTACTTTGAACGGCATTACTGTTGTCTAGCTTCTTGGACGTTATCATTATCAACTCTTGAAGCTGTGTATAGAGTTTGCCTTAACTGCTGCCTCATCCAAATCATTCCACTTTTTAATCACCCTGAGACTAGAGAAGTGTTTTTCTTTACATTTCTATGGCTCACCGGTGTCTTTAGTTTCCACTTTTTTTTTCCTAATTTAATCTATCCCTATCTGTCTTAACAGTTTGCCTTAGGATTTTACATACTGCAAGGCCTCCCATTGTCCTCTCTAACAAGGTCGTGAGGATCAGTTCCTTCCACTTCTCTCAGTTCTGGTACTGGTTGTAAATCTTTCAAAACTTTTTTGAGCTGCATCTTGTGATTGATCAGTTGTGGGTTCCAAGCCTGGGACACTTACTCAATAACTGGCCTAACATATGTCGTATATAAGGTTCTGAAGCAGTTTTTATTCAAGTTCTGAATGCTATTCTAAAGTCTGCCAATCTTGCATATACTACTAGCGTTATAAGGTTTACATGTATATCTGGCAATATCTTCAATGCATATCTGGCAATATCTTCAATGCATATCTGGCAATATTTTTTCCCCAGGGCTTTTTCAATCTAATATTTGCAACTTTCCTTTACCCATGCCGTACTTTGTGTCTAGTCTGCCCTCCCTTTTTCCAATTCGCGTGACCGAATTATTCAGGTTGAACAAGAGAAACCACTCGCTTCACATCCGTAGTTTGAAGCCTTTCTGAAGTTTATCACTGTCCTTTCTTGTTTTTATTCTTCTTGTTAGCTTACCATCTGCAAACAGACACGCAAAGGATTCGTTTCCCTCTGCTAGATCATATATGTATATTAGCAGCAGTAGCGATCCTAATACTTGTCTCAGAATCATATTGTTAATACTGCCCATTCTGACTCTCGTCTTACTGTTACTTTCTGCCTTATATCAGTCAGGTACTGACTCACTGGAACACACTATCTTTTAACTCTGCCTGTTCGTCTAATTTCTGGTATTATCTTTACTGTGGTAATGTATTAAATCTTTCCTGCGTGCACTGCATCAAATGCTTTCCCGTATGTAAGTGTACTTGACTGTGCGTGTGAATGTGCGCGCGAGTGTATTCATATGCTTTCTTATGTGGCACTCAGCAACACTAGTGGGTTTCTTAATTAAGGAATTTTACGAGTGGTGTTGTTTTCCCGTTTTATCACAAAAACAATACAATGATCTTAACGAAACTCTCACAATCTATTCTACTATGAGAGGCCACATAATAGACCAGAACAACGTAAAACAATATTTTAAATTTAGCTTAATATTAAATATTTGTTGCAGGTCTTAGATAAAAATTAATGCCTCCTAAATGACTAAAGGGAACTGCGTAAAAATTTAAATAAGAGTATGTCTGAAATGTTTTAAATTTCTGTATAATTTTTCTTTTTGATAGTCGAATTTCTCAGTAATCCAGAAGAGTGTGATACAACAATGTTTTAATAAAATTAGCAAATTAGAGGTTACGAAGCCCATTAAAATACGAAGTCTCCTTCTAAATAAGATACACTAGCACTGAAGTTTTGAATCTTATCAGACAAGGCATTCTCCATTTATTGTAAGAAATCCAGTTCTAATTTTTGAACTAGACTTTATTTGTATATTGGTAAATTTGCACCTACACAGTGTAAAATTTATAGGTATAATCCTTCTAATAACTCACCAATTCTTTAAAGCTAATTTGTTTAAACTGGCAAATTGTGATTTATACAGTCGATTAACGAGAAGCTTCCACTCAAGACCACAAAGAAGTCCTTAAAGTTTAAAACCGACCGGAAGCAGCATTCTCCAGTTATTGCGCACAATACAACAATCCAAGATTGCAAGACGCACTGACTGTCACTTAATATTTAAGTCGTGCAATGGAAGATTTGTCAAATGTCTCGTGGCATAAATACATCTTCACAAATTAAATTAGCAAAATGATACTTACACACTTCAATATCAATTCCAACCTTTATCTACGTAGGTGTTGAAAGCTTGAAGTCGACCAGAAAATTATTATATATCAAGGGGAAGCGCTAATAACCCGGAGGTTATACAGCATGGAGGATTGGAAGGACAATTACAGGCTTATTCGGGAACTGGAGCACGATCCAAATCCTAAATTAAGAGCCCTCACAAAAGGTACCTTCTTGAGGGATAGTAGACCAGAAAGTTATGAATATTGACCAGAAGCAGTTCTCAATCAGTTCCACCATCTACTAGTATACCAGCAAGAATTTTTTTTTTTAAGCTGATCAAATTAAACTTCTTTCGTATTACGAAGGTTTGAGAAAAAAAAACAAACCACTTAAAACTGGTATTCTTCGGGATACTTTAATATGAACCTCTAGTCTTGAAATCTAAAATACGTCATAAAGACAGTTCTCATTATTTTTCAGCGTTCTTTTCACCATCAACTTAAAATTCTCTACAACCCTACAAGATTTTTTTTTTAAGAAACCCCAATCTTACGTTTCAATAAAATTGGCATCTACATAGTTTAAAATAAATACAAACTAAATTTTAATTAAGATACCGTGGAGTTTAAGGTCTGAAGCTGATCAATGTCTCCTTCCTTTACTGCAAAGAAAACACAATTTGTTCAATAAAATTAACATTAAAATTCACAACTCAAAATGAATAGTAAAGTTTCTTTCATTAAAACCCACTATGGTTGAAAATTTGATGATGAAGAGAAGCAGCCTACACTTGTACGGCTCAAGAATCTAACGATTCCACGTTTTATAACCATGTTAATGAATTGTGAAGTTTTCAGTTACACATTAAACTGAACGGATGCTATTATATATATATATATATATATATTATATATATTATATATATATATATTATATATATATATATATATATATATATATATATATATATATATATTATATATATGCAATAAGATCACAGTAAACAGGTGATTTCAGAATATGCAAAACAACCACTCTGAAAGAATAAGAAATTCCAAGCGCTTTCGTGACTACTCACATTATCAAGGAGTAGTCACGAAAGCGCTTGGAATTTCTTATTCTTTCAGAGTGGTTGTTTTGCATATATATATATATATTATATATATATATATATATATATATATATATATATATATATATATATACATTTAAGATGTAACAGCCCATTAAGACTGAAGCCGTTCAAATCAAGTAATTCGTATATATTTACCATGAATAAAGTGGGAAAATGTTCATACTATTTTACATACAATTGGCAAAGGTAGCACCTACACACCAAAATAACACTTTCCACTTAAGTCTAATTAAGATACACCAGTGCTGAATGTCAGAAGGCAATCAGAAGAGGCTTTTAATAGTTACTGGACCCAAATGATTAAAGGGTACCTACTCAAGCCAATAGTTGCATGAACCCTCTCCCGGGTCCAGTAAATCAGTGTTGATGTGCTCAAGCCAGTCAGACGCGCTGTTCACAAGTTATGAACTAAACTATAGAGAAAGACAAAAAAAATCAGTCAACCACTTAAGAAGATGGGAGACAGAAGACTGAGTACTGAAGAAGAGGCGTTTCTTCCCGAGACCTTCAGATCCTTGCAGTTACAAGACTACTCAGACTCACTTTACCACTAATCACAGATCGGGTGGGGCTCGAATCCATGGCAGGCGAGTCCTAAAACTCACAGGCCGGTGTGTTAACACTTACCCTAGCCGACCTAACACGATTCATCCAAGCAGGTATATTCCTATACACCACAGGAATGTTAGCATGGGCCACACTGTGATCGCAAATGCAAGTTTTTACAGACAAATCCTCCACCAGCATGACTGTGGTGTGCTCTAACCCAGGTCCCTCAAAGCCAGCATCATGGCTTGGTTCGATCCCCACCCGTTCTGTGATTTGTTTGTAATCGTGCAAATACGATTTCGTGAGTCACTATACATACTGCTATTGAAAAATGTCTGATACTCACCATTTGCGTTGAGTTTTTTGGCTTCTTGTTAATATCAGGTACTTTCTGACCAGCTGAAATAAGTAAACAAGTGAGTTAGACATCACAGTGTAATTATGTAAAGATCTAAATAAAAACTTGAAAATTTTGCAAAAAAAAAAAAAAAAAAAAAAAAAAAATAATGTTTTTCATCTAACAAGAAATATTGAGATGTCGGGCATTTCTCTCCTGAAATGGAGTTTAGAAACTCAATTAGTCAATATTAACGGAATAACAAAAACATTAACTGCCAAATAATAGTTATTAAAAAGCAAGCAATCCAAATATCGTATAATATATCTGATTAAAACGAAGCATACATTACAGGTCAATCACCGTGCACTAATTATTCAACACTGGAAAAACTGACAACTCTGCAACAAACTAACGCAACAGAATCGCCAACAGTTCGTACTTTTTTGTACTCGCTGCCGATACTGCAATATTTCACCAGTTACATTATGAAAACAACGTCAATTATGATAAAGGGACAAAAACATCCTCAACTTTAAATATAACTATTAATATGTATTTTATGACAAGCGCATGGAGGTGTACATGATTAAATGAATCCACTATGAAAACTCATAAAAACGATAAAACTCTAAATAACCTTTCCTAACAAAGCCCCATCAATCAGCCTCTCTCACCCCTCTCTCTCTCTCTCTCTCTCTCTCTCTCTCTCTCTCTCTCTCTTCTTTGGCATGTCCTTGACTTCGTACCCACCTCACACTCATCTCCTCTCCGCCCTCCCTTGTGAACAAATTACAAGGATCCGCTTCTGAAGATAGTACACATAATATCACCTGCTCCCCTACTACCCTTTCCCCAACGCACACGACCCATAGCTCTCTTGAACCATAAATGACAACCCACCAGGACCCATCCGTACCTAGTCGACCTTACTAGCTTGTTCTCGTGTTTGCTTTTTCTTCTACTTTCTCTCTCATTATCCGCAGCCTCCTATACTCTCCCTCGGAAGAAAACAGAATTCCTATCTTCATATCAAGAAGTACAAATAACAGGAATCCTCAGATTATTCTTTAACTCCATATATCATTGGTTAGGTTTCATTTAGATTATGCTGCACAGGTCTGGTCACCTCATTACTGAATGGACATAAATGCCATGGGAAAACGTACATAGAAGGATGACAAAGTTGTATCAGATATATCCCATGTATTAGAAATCTTTCCTACGAGGATAGACTGGGGGCGCTGAATCTAGAAAGGCACGGAATTAGGAGGGGATATGACTGAAGTGTATAAATGGAAAACAGAAATGAAGGGGATATAAATATCATGCTAAAAATAACTAACGATGATAGGACTCGCAGCAATGGGTTCGAGTTCGAAAAATGTAGATTTAAAAAGGATACAGGACAGCACTGGTTTGGCAACAGAGTTGTGGATGAGTGGGACAAACTCCCGAGTAGCATTATTGAAGCTAAAACCTTATGTAGCTTTAAAAATAGGTTGGACAAGTACACGAGTAAGTCTGGACCAACAGGCCTGCTACAGTCTCCCAGTCCTCAAGTTTACATTTTATATATTACTCGATGTAGAAAACCCATACTGTGTAATGGAATATGATAGGGAAACATAGCTAGCCTCTTCTCGCTATGTAACTATCATATGGAATAGTGCAACAACACACTGAATATGTATCCAAGTTTTCATTAAAAAAAATTCACTCCCACATATGAAGACAATCCCTCCCACTTCCTCTTAAAGCCTCCCATATTCCTCCTACTTTCCGTAGCATCCTACATCCCTCACTTCCTGTAGCAGCCTTTATGCATCTCTTCGTGTAGCAGCCATTACCCATCTCTTCCTGCAGCATCTCACATGTCTCCTTATTCCTGCTGCATCCCACATCTCCCTATTCCTCACCCTCCTGCATCATCCCATATCTGAGCTAAAAAAATTTCCCCTTTCTCCGCCCCTCCTGGCACCCTGCTTCATCTTTAGGTGTTTTCCTTTCCTTTCTCCCTTCCGCCATAATGTAATTTACTGCCTCTATACCTCCTCCTCCCTCCCTCTCTCTCTCGTACCTTACCTCACATTACGACTCTCCCCCACACCCTACCTCTTTGCTCCTCGTTACGGCATCTAAATCTACTCTCCCTCCCTCACTCCGTTTTCTCCCCTCCCTCCCACTCACCCTTTCATGCCCCTACCTTCCATCCATCCATCCCTCTCTCCCTCCCTCTTGCATCCTGCCATCTCCTTTTTTTCTGTCCCCTGTTGCGCGTGCCATATGAAGTCTAGAATTAAGGCTAACACTTGGAGCCTCTGGCATCTGTCGTCTGTGAGCGGAAGGTGATCTAGTTACGAGTCTCAGGGATTGCTTGTATCCTGGTCGTGTGTCTTGGCTGTGTATCTCAGGAATTGCTTGTATCTTGGTTATTTCAGGAACTGCCTGTAACTTGGGTGTGTATCTGAGGAACTGCTTGTAACTTGGCTGTGTATCTCAGGAATTGGTTGTATCAAGGTTGTGTACTTGAAGAACTGGTTATATAAAGGTTGCGTACTTCAGGAATTGCTTGTAACTTGGTTGTGTGTTCCAGGGATTGCTTGTATCATCAGTACAGCAAATCAATTCCCATAAAACATTCTGCTTACTACATGACACCGTTTATTACCAACACTCTCCTACTCACAGATCTGGCATGGCTAGGCACCAGAAACCACCAACCCGTCTGGTGCTTGCCTAGTTAAACAGGCTGTTGCTGCTGGCAACTCGCCGGCCAACTGGGTAAAAAATATATACTGTCGTTAACAGGTGGTGTGTATTAAATGCGTAACTTATTACAAGTATCACAGAGTTCAACACCATACATATTATGGGCCGGGACAGGAAAATTAGACTCCAAAACCCACCTTCCTTACTGAGTAAATGACAAAAGACAAAACTGTGTATTTGTAAGGATTACAGAAATATTAGTCGACATCTCTTCCTTAAACTTTTTTCTCTGGCCTCTCAGAACTAGTAAATACACTACTACTGTCATGACCTGGTCACAGACCGGGCCGCGGGGGCGTTGACCCCCGAAACTCTCTCCAGGTAAACTCTCCAGGTAAACTGTCCACACAGAAAACAGAAATCATGAATACCTAAAAGTTTATCTCCCAGGGAACAGGAAGAGTGTGAGAGATAAACGAGGCAGTATAAGTGTGTTGCAGATTCATACCATTAAGAAAAATAAGTAAAGAAGGCAAGTTAGAAAGAGAAAGATACTTCCTCTACAGGAGACTAAGAATCACTGAACCTCTCAACTGTGTTTATCATAATAGCTAGAGAGAATGAAAAAATGAGCTAAAATTGAATGCATCAGAGTCCAGGAGAGACAAGAGGGAACAATCAGCCATTAATGAAACTAAAAGAAATCAAACAAATTTTGTTTTATAAGCAAAATAAAGAGCAAAGAGCACAGCCATTACTAGGCCAATGCTTAAAGACAATGAAAATTACACTAATCCAAATGAAATTTTCATGAGACCCAAAACTGACAATATAACCCTAACCTCGCTCGGCTTTGAAGTCACTCTGCCCCGGGCAGCGGGGGCGGTGACCCCCGAAATCATTCTTTAGGTATCATGCAGGCCTAGACTTGTGGAACTCATATTCATGAAAAAATGTAAAATAAATAAATAAATAAATATCCCTTGAAGACGGAGTGTGGACACAGATGTCATCCCACAGTCAATAAAATTAAATGATACAGCCCCACTCCACAAAAGTGGTAACAAATTATTATTATTATTATTATAATCAAAAAAGAAGCGCTAAGCCAAGTGGTAACAAAGCAAATGCAATATAATATAACCAATGGCACCCACATCTCACTTCTGAAAATTTTTTTTAAGACTTTTAAAAGTAAATTGCTAAACAGGAGGTGGCACAACAATTGTACAACCTGGAGCAACATGAGTTTAGAGCAGGTTGATTGTGCCTCTCGCAACTGCTGGAACATTACATGCAATGGAAGACAAATAAAATGGAAATGTAAAACATACAGAATTTTAAAAAATCTTCTGACTAGTGTATAAAGTGTAACAGCACATCAAATACGTATAAGAAGAATAGTCTTGGACCACGGATATTGATACAGTTTTCTTTTATTATGCCCATGTATCTCGTGGACTGGTTGTATCCTCTTTGTCTATCTCAAGGATTGGCTGTATTCTGGAAGAAGGGACCTTTTTCAGGAGCAAAATAAATAACTGATAGATTACTACAACCATGGGAAAGCAGTAAAGCGGTAGGGGTCATACAGCTCCAGGAATGTTGAGGAAATAAGGTTTGATACAAGGAAGGCTAGCTCCAATTCTTTGAATCAACATCCCTTTTCGCAAGCAATCGATGGAGTAATTGATATAGAATCTGGTGGTTTCTGTAGTATGGAATCTCCGCGAGTTCCTAACTGTAGGTCTGACTGTTTCCAAGGTGACATTCACGTTGTCTTTTCTTGTAGTAATACTGTGACATACCTGGAGACCGGGTTCGATGCTGCAGAATACCACCAATAAAATGGAGCACGATGAGTGCAATAAGAGAGACTTGTATAAGTTCAGAAGGACCCTGACTTTTCAATGCCCTCCCTCAGAGAACAAGATGTATTACCAACAAACCTCTGTCTTCAGGAGGAAACTTGAAACTTCCTCTTGTCAGTTCATAATCAGCCGGGCTGTGGTGCATACCTTGGATAGTATGCTACCGGCACCAACAGCTTGATCGATCATGCCAGCACCCTGGTCTAGGACTGAGCCGCGGGGGTGATGACCCCTGGAGTCGTCCCATGGTAATGTCAGTTAAGGTAAGCCCAAGAAGCACCCCCCCCTCCCCTCCCCTCAAATAGTCTTTAAACTTGGAAAACATTTCTGAAAATCCCTTATACAATACACAGTGACGTAGTACCCACGAAAGAGATTAACATGAGTGTACCATAAATAAAGTATTCAAGGTGTATTCCGATTTTCAAGTTAAGTATACAATTTTCACCCGACAGAAGAGAAATTTACACACTCGCATA